GTCTGTTGAAAGAAAATGAAGGAGCAGGAAAAAAGTAAATTACTTGCAAAATGCTACATTTCAGCAAGTAGATTTGGCCTGACTTTTCCCGTCAATTCAGGGCAAAAAAGTGCTATTGTTATGAGACTTATTTAAAAAGACTGATAACACACTATTTTCATATTTTGTTTATTTGCACAACTTTTGAACCAGATGACTGGTTAAAATCCAACCGTACACAATTTATAAAGTCAAAAGATTTTATAAGGAAAACATATAATAACCAGTGCTGTGAAATGCAGAAAAAAAGGTTTGTATTTGGTTGTGGGGTTTTTTTGTTGTTTTTTTGGTTTTTTAAAGGAAAAACCCTACCTAAAATGTTAATCTTGTAAAAAGTGTGTATTTGGGATTTTCTTTGTTTTAATATAGAATATTATAAAGTCAAAATATAATAAAATTGTTTTCAGATTTGGAGTTTAAGATAGAGCTGTAGACGTGGCTTTGATTCCTTTAGATGTCTCATAAAATGGGACTTTTTATATGTTAATGTATAATAAAACTAAAACGAGATTATTTTCCATTTGAAATTTTTGTATAGTTTAAAAATGCTTCCATATTCCTTGTTGGTATTGTGCCACTGCAGAACTTTAGTGCAGAGTTTATATTTAGCTAAACTGTTATGTTAATTAAGAAATGCATAAATCCTTTATTCTTAATATTTGTAATTCTAAATAAATTGATCTATGAAAAGTAATATTGTCTACCATTCTCATTTAATTAATACAACCTGATGAGTATTCCTTCTATTTGAAAAGTTCTAAGGAACTATAATTTCCACTGAACTATATATATATATATATATTTTGTAATTTAAAATTTTAATTACTTTTCAGGTACAAATGGCAGAATAAATTCATAAACATCAATGAAAACATATTTTATTCAGCTTTAATGTATTACATATTTAATAGCTGTATTTTAGTGGGATATCATTAAATATTATTTCTCAACTTGTGTGTTTCAGTTAATGTTAATAGTTTATTAAAAAAAATTTTTTGTGGGGGGGTGGCTTGGTGGGTTAGGCCCCTGTCTTCGACTCGGGTTGTGGTCTTGGGGTCCTGGGATCGAGCCCGGCGTCAGGCTCTCTGCTCGGCTGGGAGCCTGCTTCCCCCTCTCTCTCTGCTGCTCTGCTTACTTGTGATCTCTCTCTCTCTGTCAGATAAATAAATAAAATCTTAAAAAAAAAAAAAAAAAACTCTCTGCTCCCTGTGGAGCAGAGAGCCTGATGCAGTGCTAGATCCCAGGACCCTGAGATCATGACCTGAGCTGAAGGTAGCGGCTTAACCCCCTGAGTCACTCAGGCATCCCAAGAGGTAGTTTTTAATATATACTACCTAGAATTACATAAACATTTTTCACTTTTTTTACCTTTTTAAAAAAAAAAGGTTTGTATTTATTTGTCAGAGAGAGTGAGAGAGAACTGGGGGAGGGGCAGAGGGAGAACCAGGCTCTCTGCCAAGCAAGGAGCTCAATTCGGGACTCGATCCTGAGACTCCGGGTTCACGACCTGAGCCAAAGGCAAACACTTAACTAAGCCCCCAGGTGTCTCGCTTTTCACATTTCTTTTTTTGTTTCTCAAGACTGACTTGGCAGGGGTGCCTGGGCAAGAACTGTGCCTGAGAATATATTTGAACTTCTGTTTCGGGAGAAGAAATCTGTGTCGTTCAAACTAGTCATTTTGGGTCAGCTGCACATTCATCCGAACGATGCGGCCTCCGCCTAGCACATTTTGCAAGCTCTAAAGAGAGCCATCAACACCACATGCTACGTAAGTTTGGTTCTGAATTACTTCCCCTGAGTCCCAAAAATCAGATTCACTTGCTACCATTGAGAATCTACCAAAAGATTTGCCTGTTAAATTCTTTATCTTGAATCTAGGCACTTTCTGAGCCTATGTCATTACCACTTCTCTTGCCTGGCGCCAGCCGCTGTCTCCACCAGCCTGGAAGTCATCCGTCATCCTGACCTCTGCAGCATCCACTCTGCCCCCTCAACCGCAGCCTTGGGGAAGCGATAGTCTTAAACTGCAGAATTGGCCATGATCTCTCCATCTCAGTTCTTAGGGCTCTCAGAACAAATTCAGAACATTTCCACAAGACCCAGAGAGCCATGTATGGTCTGACATCCTCTAACAATTTCTCAGTCCTGCTGCTTCCACCACAGGGCCTTTGCATGTGCAGGTCCCTCTCCTCACCTTGGTAACTCCTGACCATCCTCCATGTCAGTTTCTCAGGGAAGCTTTTCCTTGACCACAGCACACTGTCTCCAGGCCCTCCTGTATCTCTCTGTACAGCACATGCAACATTTGCAATTTTACATTTCTTCTTTGACCCACCTGCTAGCTCCTCTGCTCTTGGCTTGGCTCACCATTTATTTCCAGGCCCTGATAAAGTGCCTGTTCATAGGCAGCAAATGTTTGTGCAGTGAACCAACGGAGTCTCGAAAGAGCTCAAAGCAACATCAGTGTCACTAGAGCACACCTATGGTTTTCCATGATAATTGCTTTGCAAGATGAGATTACTTCCTTGAATGCAGAAATTGTGCTTTGGGGGGTTGCCCTTAAGCATGATCACTTGTCCTGGTCCTGACTAAAAAGGCCAGGCCAACATAGGAGGCATTATATGCTGGTGGAGAGATGAGTGGACAGAGTCCTAGGTTTGAGTCACTTGTGATCTAAACCATAACGTTTCTTGCTCTTTAGAACAACAATAGCCCCTCCCTTCTACAGCGTCCTAAGGATTAAACACACAGTGCCTGTAACACGTTTAGCAGTTAGGGTCTCTCGAGTTCAACAGAGGTGCAGACTAGTGTTCTGAAGGGTCCCCCAATTTTTTTTTTAAGATTTTATTTATTTATTTGACAGAGATCCCAAGTAGGCAGAGAGGCAGGCAGAGAGAGAGGGAGGGAAGCAGGCTCCCTGCTGAGCAGAGAGCCCGATGTGGGACTCAATCCCAGGACCCCGGGATCATGACCTGAGCCGAAAGCAGAGGCTTTAACCCACTGAGCCACCCAGGCGCCCCAGGTCCCCAAATTTTAAAAAATTAAAAATGACAAGATTTAAATATTTATAGGTTTTTTAAAAGGTTTTATTTATTAATTTGACAGAGATCACAAGTAGGCAGAGAGGCAGGCAGAGAGAGAGGGGGAAGCAGGCTCCCCGCTGAGCAGAGAACCCGAAGCAGGGCTCGATCCCAGGACCCTGAGATCATGACCTGAGCTGAAGACAGAGGCTTAACCCACTGAGAAACCCTGGCACCCCAAATATTTATAGATTTTGTAGGTGTTCGCTAGGAAAAATATATGTAAGTGCAATAATCCTATTAATTAATAATCTCATTGCAAGGTTCACCTCTACACATGACCCTTACTGGACTGTAAGTTCCAAGTGTCCAGTGTTCAGTCTTTTGAGTGGGAATGTCTGCAGGTCAGGTCTACAAGTCCCAACGCAAAGGGAGTGCGGAGCAGCACGCGGGCAAATAACCACAGCTCATGTTTACCCTCTTGGTGCCAGGCTGTTCTCAAGGGTTCAGAAGTCAGGTCTGCCATAAAACCTGAACTGTCTCCCGGCTGCTTCTCACAACACATTCGCTACTCTGAAAAGTGCAAGTCATTTGAATAACACCTTGGTAAAAAATGAGGGTGACTGGCTTGTGTAAACGCCAGGACATTCCATGGCGTTCAGACTGTTCCAGCAACTTCGGAGAGGAGTCCTGGCCCCAGCCACTGCACCTGCGGGTCTCCTCCAAAGGCTGTGTGCGGAAACACCTCCCCTACAGCCACCCCACAGACAGTCGCCCTTGGCCCTCCGGAATTTGAAAACCCTCAGAATATCAAGACAGGATTTTAACGGAGCTCAGCTAACTTAGACCCTAATTTGCATACATTCTAATGTATACGTTGGGAGAGAGAAATCGGAAGCCAGACACTCCTGCGACTAATTTAACAAACTCTCAGCCCAGTGGCGACCACACATGCATGGACTCTGTCCTTCCCCAGGTGGAGGAGGGAGACGCCGCGCAACGTGCTGTCTGAAGGACCGCATGCGTGTCAACAGAATGACAGCAAAGCATTTGTGGAAAGCATTTAATAACCCACTCAAGTTGCACCAAGTACAATGACAAGCGCTAAGGGTAATGTGGGAGTGACTGGAGTAAAAGGTAAGAAATCAGGATTAGAGGAGGGTTCAGACTCGGGGGGATGGGACCTTGAGTGTCTGAGACCATGGACGAGGGGGCCTGCTCTGGGACAGGCCTCAAGAAGATCTGCATGGCTGCTCTGTCGGCGGGAGATGTCCACTGGTTGTCTGGGAAGGTAATGGAAAGGTTTTTTCCATCCGGTGGCCACAGGAGGCTACCACAAATTTCTAAAGATGTGTGAAAATCTGAGAAGCTGGTGGGGGGGGCTCTAGAAATAATCTGCATGCAGAATCGCCAGAGCTACGAATGGGTGTAAAGATGACAGGCCACACTCACAGAAAAGGGGTCGATCTCGGGGGCAGACTGAGGACTGAGTCCGAGTGAGTTCAAGGTCACAAGCCCTGGAGGAACCACGAGAAGCCGGCTGCAGCAGTGGCAGCGAGGAGAGAGGGAGCCCGGCTGCCGGTTCTTGGGAAGGGGAGAGGGAGTTCTGACGAAGCAGTCTGGAAGGGAAGTGGGCGACCCGCCAGAAGGAGCAGGGGTCCAGATGGAACCCGAGGTGTGGGTCTGGAGACGCCCGGGGCAAAGGGCCCTGGGACCCCTGGGGAGGGGCCCATAGAGGGAGAAGAGTGGGTAAAAGGCTCACAAGCGACAGGGGAGGGAGCCTCACGGGAGGGAGCCTCACCGGTGAGAGCTGCGGGTGACACCCTTACCGAGGTGAACAGGCTTGTGTCCCTCGCCAGAAGGGACAGCCTCCTGGTATGCATGTCCCCGCCTTCAGTCTCAGCTCCTCCTCGGAGCTTGTCCTGACTTCACCCACACTCCTCAGGAGTCACCAAAGGCAGAAAAGATGTGTTCCTCCCACGAGTCCAGCTTGGAACCAGTGTCTTCAGAGAGGGGAGAGTAGGCTTGGAAGCGCTGACCTTGGCAGCTCGGGTGGGGGGTGCCCTCCCCAACCCTGCTGGGACTGGGCAGGCAGGTCACATCTACTCCAAGAGGCAGTTGGGGCTTCAGACATTTTGCTTCAGGTCCCTGAACGGCGGGGTGGAGAAAAAGCTCAGGCCTGGCTGAGGGCTGAAAGGCTTTCCCACTCTGCCGCCTGGACTTGGCCCGCCGGTTCTGGAACCACACCTGGAAGAGGGAAGAGAAGCTGCTCCAGGCTGGAGTCCTTGCACTCGGGCACCGCACCTGAGGCCCCATCCAACATGCCCTGCTTCCCTGCTGCGAGCCTCCGTTTTCACCAAGCACTTGGGCCAATCGGTGGCCAGGAGTTCAGAGTCCCTGGCTCTCCCTGCCTTGGCTTTCCCAGCTGCAAAATGGGGAACCTGCCTCCCTCTACCTGGGCATCATATAGGGATACCTGCGGGGGGGAAAAGTAGGGTGGCAGAAACGGAAGCACTTAGCATCTGAGGATAAAAGGCTTAAAGATGACAAGCAGTTAAGAAAATTTAGAAAGTCAGGACACTGGGCGGCTCAGTGGGTTAAAGCCTCTGCCTTTGGCTTGGGTCATGATCTCAGGGTCCTGGGATCGAGCCCCATATTGGGCTCTCTGCTCAGCAGGGAGCCTGCTTCCCCTCTCTCTCTCTCTGCCTGCCTCTCTGCCTACTTGTGATCTCTATCAAATAAATAAAATAAAATCTTTAAAAAAAAAAAGAAAATTTAGAAAGTCAATTTCTGGGGGCGCCTGGGTGGCTCAGTGGGTTAAAGCCTCTGCCTTCAGCTCAGGTCATGATCCCAGGGTCCTGGCATGGAGACCCGCGTCCAGCTCTCTGCTCCGCAGCTAGCCTGCTTCTCTTCCTCTCTCTCTGCCTACTTGTGATCTCTGTCTGTCAAATAAATAATAAAATGTTAAAAAAGAAAGAAAGAAAGAAAGTCAGTCAGTCAGTCAATTTCTGGAAGTATATATAGTCTCTTGTCAAATCAGTGGAGAAGGGGTTTTTGCCCGCGGACTTCACTTTGGTGAATACATTTTTCCGCTCACCGTTTCCCAACAAATAGCTAGGGCGTCCTGCTCAGGAAGCCCCGACGCCATCGGTTGGAGCCCACAGATGGGCTCCACGAGGCACGCAGAAGAACAAGCCCGCTCCCCCCAGTGTTAAAGCGAGGGCTCCAACTTAAAAGCGTGGTTACAGAGCACCGCGCGCAAAAAGGCAGGCTCGTGGTCACCAGCAAGCTCCCGGGTTCTGATCTAAATCCCTTGGCAATAAACATGCCTGGCACTGGATTTTTCAAACCCTGACAAGAAGCCCCACTCACTTCAGGCTTTACGACCCTTAGAACCAAAATTCCAGACCCAATACCCGCCAAGAAAGGGGACTTAGGGGCGCTGGGGGCCACCCGGAGAGCCAGCCCTGCCCTCTCCGAGAGACCAGCCCATACCCCCCCCACGCCCCGTGGGAAGCCCCAATCGTGCCTCATCTGTCCCTTCCTGGATCCAGAAGAAGCGTAAAAGGACTCCTTCTCGCCCTCCTGCTCGGGATGGCCTTTGTGACTCTCTCAAAGGGCCGGCGGGTGACCTCGGAAGGGCCCCGACCATACTGGACGCCGACAGAGGGAAGTGGCTGCGTGCGCGCCCCCCGCCCCACGATTGCCCCAACGTCGGGTCGCGACGCCACCCTTTGTGGGCAGCCCGGGGAGCGGCGCTCCGAGAGCGGGGCTCACCTGGATCCTAGACTCGGGGAGCAGAGTGAGCGCGGCTAGGCGCTCGCGCAGGTGGATGTCTGGGTACATGGTCCGGCGGAAGACGAGTTCAAGCAGCTGCAGCTGCTCGGCGCTGAACGACGTGCGCTTGCGGCGCTGCGACGCCGACGGGGCTGGCGCGCCCGCTGGGGGCGCTGGGGGCGCGGGGCCGCCGCTCAGGAAGCCGGCGAAGGGGCCGGGGCCCGGGGGCGGCGGTGGGGCAACGGCTGGGCCGGGCGGGAGTGCGGAGAGCGCGGGAAGCGCGGGGAGCGCGGGAGCCGCCCCGAAGCCGAGCTGCTGGGACCGAGACGCGGCCATCGCTGGGCGAGCCTGTGCGCCGCCCGAGGGGCGCGGGCCCCGGGTTATAGGACGCGGGCCGGGGGAGGGGCGGCGGCGCGCTCAAAGGGCCGGGCGCGCCGAGGCCCGTGTCCCCCCGGGGGGCCGACCCACCCCCAGCCCCGCCAGACGCCGTGGGAATTGCCGCTTCCGCCGCCGCCGGCAGGAGGAGAGGAGGCGTGAACTTGGGCCGCCCCCTACCCCTCCTCCCCCGACGACCCCCGCCCGCCCGGCCCGCCGGCCGCAATCCACATCTCGGGGCGGGCGTCCCGCTCGTCGGCGCACTAGGCCGGGGCAGCGACCCTTGCCCGCGTCCTCAGAGCTGTTTACTTACGACCCCTCCTCCCCCCTCCCCCGCCCGGGTACGTGCCAGACCCGGTACCAGGTTGGTCAAACAGCCCGGCCCCTGCCCTCCGCGAGCCTCCGCGGCGCATCCTGAACCGGGAGGGGGTTTGCGGATTAAGGGACTGCAGAGGGAGGCCGCGACCTCACCTGGAGCGTGGGGCGGACCCTTTGGAATGCCGGTAGGCCGAGGACCGAGGGTCTCCCGGGCCCGGCGGGCCTGAAAGCCTGCCGACGTTTACAGACGCGTGATTGCCGGGGCCTCGGGCGTTGCTCGGAAGCCGTCTGACCTGGGAAGTCTCCGCGCCCGCCTGCCTCTGCCCTAGGGGCCCCGTTCCAAGTTCCCGGTTGGTCCTGGTATGTGCTGTGGCCCTAGTTTGCGTCTCTGCCTCCCCCCCCCCCCGACTGTAACGTCAGAGAGCGCAGGCACCCCAGTTCCCCACTGTGCGAGAGGCACGGTGCTAGACCCTTCCGCCCCACCCCCCACCCCGTGCAAGCCTCTCGCGCCGGATGCCTCCGAATTCACTTTGTGGGGAGAGAGACACAGGCCCGCGTGGGAACCGCTCCACCCAGGGGAGCCCGAGGCCCCGGGCTTCCTGCTCCCCGAACCCAAGCCCCGACTTCACCAGGACCCTGCAAGCTTGCTCTCTGTTGGGAGGGTCCTTCAGGGCACTGTCCCTGCCTGTCTGTCCATTCTGGAATGCTCTAAGACCACCCCGCAAGGCCTTGGATGTTTCCATCCTGGATGGACCGCCTGGGTGTTCAAGCAGAGAGTCTGCAGGGGACAGGAGCTCAGAGCTTGATTTTCTCCTGGAAGGTGGCTGAGCTGTCAGGAACTCTTTCAAACCCCAAAGCTCTTCTGGGCAGCCTGCTCCTCCATCTCCCAACCCCTACACCTTCTCTCTCTCTCTCTCACTCCTGCTCCCTTCCCCTCTCTCTTCCTTTGCTGGGTCATTGGGGTCTTCGGACAGAGGGCATACGGGATGGGTGGGCAGACCCTGTATTTTCATATGCTCCGTCCTTCTTTCATTAACCCAAAACCTTTTCTTTCTTTCTTTCTTTCTTTCTTTCTTTCTTTCTTTCTTTCTTTCTTTCGTTCTTTCGTTCTTTCTTTCTTTCTTTCTTTCTTTTTTTTTTTAAGATTTTATTAGAGAGAGCACAAGCGGGGAGAGGAGCAGAGGGAGAGGGAGATACAGTCTCCCCACTGACCAGGGATCCTGACTCAGGGCTCAATCCCAGGACCCCGAGATCATGACCTGAGCCAGAGGTGGACACTTAACCGACTGAGCCACCCAGGCACCCCCCAACCCCAAAACCATTTATGAAGTGTCTCCGGGCAAGGCCATGCTACACATGTGTTCATATGAAGTAGGTGTTAACATCCCAGTCTTACAGATCAGGACTAATTCCACAATCCAGATGAGGCCCAAAGGTCTCCGAAGCCACTGACACTCCTGGGCTCACCGCTGGGTTCCCCTGCACCCTGGGGAGGAGGGCAAAACCCCTCCCTCCAGTTTTGTCTTTCAGGCCCCTTGGCCTCAGGAGGGTCCCAGTCACAGGCAGTGGTGACGGGCCCAGATCCACGCAGACCCAAGTTTCACAGCTGCAGCTAAGCTACTGAGACCAGAAGGCCAACCTCTGAAGGAGGCCGGGGTTTAACAGCAGAGAGGGCCCAGCGAGCCAGAAAGCCAGAAATGGCCCAGGGCCAGGAGTCACAGGAAATCTCCGGCTGTCCCCACCCCTCCAGCAGTCCTGCATCCCAGCCCCATGCCTCTGCAGCACCTGCTCCCAGTGGGGCCTCGCAGGCTTGGAATGGACCCACTCAGAGAAATGAGATGCCTGGTCAGGAGATGGAACAGGTAGATGAAGCCACCTACACACATAGTTTTTTCTGCTTTTGACCTGGCAGCAAGAGACACCAGCCCTTGGGGGTGTGGCCAGGTCTGTCCAGCCTACAGACAAAGCTAGCATTACCCTTCCTGACCTCTGGATAGCCTGTGGCTTCCTGATCATCTGGAGTGGAATAGGATTTCCGCCTCTCCCCTTCTCTCGTCCTTGTGCTCTACATGAAGCTTTCATTGTGTGTTCTTGTGTGTATATACCTAGGGCATCACCTCGGTGGGGATCAGTGGAGACCCAAGATTGCAACTTTGAGCAAGGAGTTAGAGGGGAAGACTATCTTCTATACCCTGGTGCCGTTTTATTCTGATTTTTTAATCACATGCGTGATGACTTGGTCCAATGTGGTGTTCTGGGTTGGATTTTTATTTATTTTTTAAAAATAAAGTCTACACCCAGTGGTCTGGAACTCATGACCAGGAGATCAAGAGTCGCACGCCAGGTGCCCTGGGATGGATCCTTAGGAAAGAAAAAAGGACATTAGTGGGAACATTGTTAAAATCCGAATGGTTTTCTAAAACTAACATTACAACACTGGAGCAGAGAATGCAAGTAATATGTCTGGAAGGAGACAGCGGTTTCACTGGGAACAGAGTTCCCATTTCCGTGGTAGACTCGGACCAGGGTTAGGAAGCTCTAAGCTTCCACAACTCTCTTCAGAAGCTCTGATGTGTCCATTCACTCAAAATCACAGGTACTTTCCGCTCCTCTGGGGCGTGACAGACACCTCTAAAATCATAAGTGGTTTCCACAAAACCCAGGTTCTGGATTCCTTACTCCGTTATCCTGCTGCAAGCTTACAACGAATATTTTCGTGAATTCTTCTGTACCTGTTTTCCCAAACGGAAAACGGAAAGAGCCCGATCCTTGACAACATCTTAAAAAATGAGTATGGCAGGGCACCTGGTGGTGCAGTGGGTTAAGCCTCTCTGCCTTCGGCTCAGGTCATGATCTCAGGGTCCTAGGATCGAGCGCACATTGGACTCTCTGCTCATCAGGGAACCTGCTTCCCCCTCTTTCTTTGCCTACTTGTGATCTCTCTCTCTGTGTCAGATAAATAAACAAAATCCTTTAAAAAATGATTATGGCGGGGTGCCTGGGTGGCTCAGTGGGTTAAGCCTTTGCCTTCAGCTCAGGTCATGATCTCAGGGTCCTGGGATAGATCCCCGCATCGGGCCCTCTGCTCCGCGGGGAGCCTGCTTCCCCTCTCTCTCTCTCTCTCTCTCTCTCTGCCTGCCTCTCTGCCTACTTGTGATCTCTGTCAAATAAATAAATAAAATATTTTTTAAAAAATGATTATGGCGAGTTATTTTCCCAAAGTACATAATCTGTGAAATTTAACTGCTTTTAAATATTTTTATTTATTTATTTATTATGTATATATAGAGAGAGTGAGAGAGAGAATGAGCACTGAGATGGAGAGAGGGAGAAGCAGACTCCTTGCTGAGCAAGGACAACCCCACCCACCCCCACTTGAGATTGATCCTAGGACCCTGGGATCATGACCTGAGCCAAAGGCAGGCGCTTAATACACTGTGCCCCCCCCCAGGCACCCCAAGTACATTTTTAATAGGCTCCAGGAGGTACTTTCCTGTACCAAAGCCAGTCAGGTTACCGATTTCAGAATAGCACACTGAAATTCAGGGTTAGCTGAAGGCCAGGGTCGCAGAGATCAGGGGTTCTCGTCCACACCTGGGTTCTGCTCACTTACCACCTGACTTGCTCAGGGCTTTGGTCCTTGTTGGCATTTTGTCCCTTGGTGACATCCGGTGAAACAGAAGGGGAAGAGCAAGGTGACACAGAAGACAGTCCTCAGAGACACACTCTATCCTGAGGGAAGGCCAATAAGGACTCAGTAGAAAAAGCAACAAGCTTTAAAAAAAAAAAAAAAAAAAAAAGTGTCATTATTTGGAGCAGCCCCAGCGGGGAGATGGGAGCCACTTGGGATGACCGTCCTGCTCTGTATCCCCAACATTTCCCACCACAGCTCCTATCCCCGGCTCCCCTGAACATCACAGACGCCTGCCTTTCCTCCCCAAGTGCTAAATACCCTCTTCCCGGCTTTGTTGTTCAAGTCTGGCCCTCGGCACTGCCCTGAGACCTGGCCCTCGCTCTGCGCTGGGTGTTTATTGACGAGAGAACCAGGAAAAGGAAAGTTGATGGCTCTGCTCCCACCCAGAGCCCCCAAGCTGTTTGCCCCTTTGATCCTGGCTTTGATTTCCTCTCCTCTCTCTCTCTGCAACCCCAGCCTCCTGAGTTTCCGAAGCAGAGGTTACAAGAGATGGAGAGTCCACATCCCCCAAAAGGTATTAATGCGCCAGGAAGTGATAAAAGGTGAAGCAGCCTCTTTTGTTGTTCAGTTAACACCAAATAAATTCCAATAACCAACGGGAAAGAGATTGGGAACCCAACACGTTGAGTTTTTGAAAAGCACAATTTCTTTGCTTCTTTCAGTTATTTCTCCCCAAAGCCTCCGGACAGTGTCTTACCACCCAGACTCACACGAGCGAGGACGTTAAAGAAACAGCTCAACCTCAGAGAGAGAGAAAACCCTAGATTTTCCAAGTTTGTGTCCACACACTTGATCACGAAGGACCGGATCGACACCCGACATTTGTCTGTATTTCTATCCGCAACATGCCTATTGAGTGCTTTACAGGGGGCTAGTGCCCCTGAACTGGGTTTTGGTTTTTTATTTTCTATTTGTTTGTTTTTTACTTTATTGCCTGTTAACTAATTGC